TAATTTATGACGTTGCTGCATTATGGCTGCTATTAAGCTTTCTTTGCTCAATTTTCGTTGCATCTTTCTATGATTATTTTTGTAATAACGTTTTTGAAATTCCTATTTCTCATGAGACAAAATTTCTACTTTTTGAATTCTCTGTGAATTTCAATTTTTCTATGTGGACTTCATTGAAAAAGATTGACGTGATAATTTGAATGACAATTCCTCAGGAGTAATTACTGTATAGCCAGCTTTTGTCTGCGATATTAATCCATCAGTAGTAGAGATTAAATAACCTCAAAATAGATATTAATTAATGGTCTTCAAAAAGGTTGATCTCATTATTTAATGATTACTAGTTTCTCTCGTATTAAGCCTGGTTTATATAATAATTCGTTCTGGAACATTTATCAGAGGCAGTTATAAATTTTATAAATTTTGTTCTGTGTTTCTAAATTATCTCTGCAATTCGCTACGCGTGATATTTATTGTACTGTTCTGCACGTATTTATGCAATCAAACTTTCTTTATTTTGCTTCATATTAGCTATTAATAATTCTCCAACATGATGATAAGTAAATATGTGTATAATTTTTAATTTACAATAACACGTAGCTCATTATATAATATTAAACAGAGCATTAATTAGTATAAAATTATACAATGTTCTTTTTCTAAAGAAATCAGTCATATAAATCACATAAATGCATATTTTCGATTACATCAATCTTATTTGTTGCTTATGATTTATAGTATTTGTTTTATTCAATTTTGTTTTACTTTAATCTCCTCGTTCAAGCCACTAATTAATATTAAATTATAAGAATAAAAAAGAAGGAATGTAAATTAAAATTACACACATAATTGATATACTTCCATGCATGAAATTGAATTCTATATTCTACACGAAAATCGTTTTTAACATCCAATGGTAATCAAATTTTAGATTATTACGTAAGTATTATATTTATGGACTCGACAAGTTTAAAACGGTTTGAAAAATAATAAATTTATGATTCCTTTGTCCCTTTGTTCCGCCATTTTTATTAACATCCCTTTAAAAAATACCAGGAAAGTCACTTGATCTAAAGTTATTACAGAAATCCGCAAATATAGTTCTACCCACGTAGAGCGTGTTTGAAACTATGGTCTAAAGCAGGTCAATTTATCATCGCTACAGCTTTCGTTTTCCACCTACGCCCACGCTTTGCTGTGTTCTATATACCTTAAAGTTTGCGTAAGTTTAAAATATTCATAAGGTTTGTCCCTCCAGTCAAATTATAATCATGTCTATCGTTCTGAAGATTTTTCAGATGTATGGATGAGAAGGAATACTATCATTGCGCCTTCTATCAGGTAATTTTCTCTTCACGAGTCAATAATTTCTTAAGATAAATTTAATTTGTGGCTTACATGTGTAGAATGTGTGGAGGATGAATTATTTAATAAAGAAAATACAATTTCTTTCATTTTTTAATAATGGTAATACAGAAAAGACTGCCAAAATGAATAAATATTGGCAGAGACATATTTTCTGAAAATTATACTTTTGTATACCATTTTTATGTGCATTACTATCTTTAACATATTTTTATTGAGAGGTTTTTATTCAAAATATTAATAATTCCATTGGAGATACTTCATTTTTCTTACTTAATTGCTTAATATTAGCAGAAAATTTTTCTAACACCGTATCATGATATTTATAATTAAAAAGAAATTTCCATTATTGTAAGGACATATAATGAATCGTTTTTAAACCGATAAGCGACGAAAATATTCTACATTTTATATTTAAAATGGCTTTAGCTACGATAGCAAATAAAATCACGAGAATTAATTTTAAAACTAACTTTAGAAATTGCTACATCGTCTTGTATTATGTAGACAATCAATTTAAAATGCTTTTAAGAGAATATGGTCCCATTACTCGTTTAGTATAATGCACTTGATTCCTTTCCTGCTGTTTTTCTAGAGAACAAAGGGCATTCGACCCTTTTTGTTTAAATGCATGAGTCTGAAAGGGCAGGTTAAATTACATTGTGCAACGATGAATTTTAGTCAACTCGAAAATGAAAAAATACAAGAAAGTTCCTAAACATTTTTAATTATAATTTGTAGCTGTGTTTCATTTACATTTTTCCTCTCATACACTGTGGATTAAGAAATTACACAATTATACTCCCTACAGATAGAAAAATTTAATAAATTTAATAAATTTATGATTTTTGTTCATTTTAGACTCTCATAATTTTCTTAATTTCCAAGTTTCTAAACTTCCAAATTTTTAATATTGTTAACAAATTTCTAAACTACCAAATTTTCGTTCTATTCTTTTCTTTTTCTTTTTATTTTTCTACCTGTCAAGCTTCAAAATTTTTAATTATGAGCTTCTCAAAGTTCCAATTTTTTAAATTTCTAATTTTCAAAATAAAAATTTTCGCACAACTTTCTCATTCACCGCGCTCGATCAATAACTTTGCAACAACCGCAACAAACGAGTGCCAGGGTCGAAAGGAAAAAAGGGACAATGAATCAAATTACTCGATGCTCGAATAAATCATTCGCGTACAATGGCAAAATTTTGTTGACCTGTTAGGTACTTCGTTTGACAGACAATAACGAAGAAAGTTGATTCGCGAAGGATCGTATTCCAGTGCTAAACAGCACAAGGCACGAATAAAAACTGCGGATGAAAAGAAATCGTTGTTGAATAGATTCCTTGAAATGAGCGAGAAGTTCGCGAGAAGTGAGAAAATTGAATTTCAAAGCAACAACAGCCTGATTCGAAAGAAATTATGATCTCATTCGGCACGAACATTCCGAATAACGTCAAAGCCTACTTATTTACGCAATCACTTAGAGAAAATTGAAACGAGAGAAAAAGAAGTGGACACGGGTGAAAGGCACGGGGTAAGAAAAGAAAGGCGTTTAGAATCGCGTTGCAGCAAGGTTCAGTGCAATCGACTTTCTCTCTCGAGAGATTTTCGATGGGACGATAACTCAATTCGAGGGCAAGGTAAGATTAATTTCAGGTGTGATAAAATCGGCAATCTAATCTGCGAGGCGGAACCAGTTTGCAACGTTTTCAATTTTTAAGTCACGCTGGATTAAAAATCTTTATCGTTCTCGCTTTTGGTCACGGTTGGCACAAATTGCTATATTTAACCTTTATATTTTTGGTTACCTGCGTATTTACCAATTATTTATCATCCGTGATAAATAACAATACAGTGTATCAATTGTGGTAATAATTAATCACCTTCGTGCTAATAAAAGAGTATTTCTATTAAAAATATTTATATATTTCTCGTGAGATTTAAAAATTTTAGGATAATCCATACGAAGAATATTTCTCAGAAATTTAGGATTTCCATGAATTTACTTTGAACCAAATACTATTATTACATTTAAAATAATAGCAAGAGTGCCTCAAATTCACGATATATTTACTCGTGATTTACGGAAAGTAGATAAAAGCTACTCGATAAACGAGAAATATCAATAGTATCAAAATTCGAGTAATTTGTAATATCCATAACAGTTCACGAGCTCGAATAAAATTTCGTTACAATGGAACCACGCGAAGTGCCGATTCCATTGAGGCAAATTCTAATAGCTTTGGTCACGATCGATCATTTTAACACGTACGACACGCGCGATATTCTCGTTCGAATTACTCGTACGATTCATTGGCTCGTGTTATCAATCCAGGCTCACCGCGAATAGGCAGAAGATAATTTTAATTTATCTATGGGCTATTATGCTACTCGTTCATCATGCCAGACCTGATTTTCTCGGTCACGATACGCCAACCTAACCTATTCACGGGTTTAAAGCGGCGAGAAGTACGCAGCTCCATCTGGAAGCCCAACAAGTAATTAAACGTCAGGCGCACACCTGCTAGAGCCATGTCCCACTGTTTTCATTGCTCTCTTTTTTTATCAACTTTTTATGACCCGGTTTTATCCGGTTTATTCGGCTGATTGGCCACGTTTCTATGCCTTCGAATATTTGCACGATCGTCAGACGTTTGACACGGTTCGAATATCTGTCGAATATTTCAGAAATAGGAATGAGAAATAGAGAAACGTCGTGTACATTCTGGAAACCGATCGACAGTCAATTTCGCGATGCATATGATCATGCTGACTCAATTGTAGATCATAAATTAGAATACAGGAAATTTGAAAAAAAAAATTTCTTTCGATTATACATAAATGTTGAGCTATGCATAATTAGTTTTTCGAAGGGAATTAATTAGGGACTTAATTAATAAGGAAATTAAAACGAGTCTTACAAAGAATTGGTATTTCGTTGAACATTCGATTGTAAAAGATAGAAACAGAGGGGAAAAATATTGGATAAAATATAGAACACAGGGACAGCAGGATTTTCGCGTATTTTGGCTTCCAGCTTTTAAAATGAGAAAGTTTTCAACTCTTTCTCCAAAATAGGAAAAAAGTTGAATACGAAATATACGCTCCCTCCTCGCGCATTTGTATGACTTACCCTGTATTTCAGTTACAGAAATGTTTGTAATTTTTCTGCATAAAAAGTATTAAAAGTTGCGCGGAGTCTTCTTTGAATAAAAATTATTACTCCTTTGTCAACCGAGAACTGCACTTATTTTGTTAATAATTCTTGTGATACCTACATTTCTAGAAATATTTTGACTATTCTAAAAGAAGATAGTTTGTATTCAAATTTTATAATAATATAAGAATTCCAAATAATTTTTATGTTCATATAGGAATTCTAAATGACTTTTATATGGGTACAGAAATTTTAAATAAGTTTTAGATTGATATATTTAATTTGTTGTACCACGTTATATTTAATATACTTTCCTCGAATGAATCACAATATTTAATTTCTCGCTATAATATGAAAATCAATAAAATATTTAAAAATTATGATGTTTCTAACTCTGTTAATATCATAAAATTAAATTAAAACTAAAGATACGAAATTGAAAAATAACTTTAGTTTGAGATTAATAATTGTTAACTTACTTCTGTGTCCTTTGTCTAAAGCCGGATCCCTCCTTAATTTTATCCTTCTCTTCGCGTTCACCCATGGAGCTGCAATAAATAATGCATCAAGATATAAATATTTCCATATTCTTTAACATTAGTTTAAATAAAAATAAATATCGTTTCTTAAATTATACAATAATAAAACTGATATATTTACCGATTAACAATTGGATACAAATTAAATTGGAAAGTTTGCAAAAACATGTAATCTACTGCAAATAATACTAAAATTTTGGACGGACTCACAACTGTTCAATGTTACCATCATCTCATGAATTATTCACCTGCACAAAAATCGTCACTGCATAAATGCAGATAGTGTAACGCAAATAAATATTTTTTAAAAATGAATTTCGTAATTTCACCGGTATTATAAATTTCAATTTTAAAATAATGAAACATATAATTTTAACATTGATCAAGAAAAATTCATGCATGTGTACCAGAGTCTAATCAGTATTCCCAACATATCTCACCTTTATTTCGTACATAAAGTCCAATCTTCGTTAATCCAAAATAAAAATTGTCACAAATTTCAACAAACTTTCCATTTAATATTTGTCTTTTTCGTATTTTTCGTTTCCTCTTTTAATGTAACTTGAACAATTTAAAAACCTTAATTTTTTCGAAGACAACTATTTTCAATATTGAAACGAACGATCAGAGAGAATATAGAAAAAGGCTTTGCTTTTGCTACTAGCAGACGAATGGTAACAAAAGGGAAATCTTTGATGGCTGGAAGAAGATTACGCCAGCTTTCTTTTTTATAATGCAGACGCGTGACTTCGGCTCGATGTAGCGTAAAAGCGATTTCGTTTATACCCCCAATTCTAGCCCAGATCGGTGCTCGTTCTTGCAGAAAGTGACTCGGTGTCTCCTAGTCTCTTTACAAGTGGCTGGATGCTTTTCAGAAAACCGCGAATCGAATTGAAAAATTCATCCACAAAAGAAATCTCAGTCGTTGTACGAAAAAGCTGACAGATCAAATTTTAGAACGTGGTAGAAGAACATTTTATTCAATTAATTTATTTAAAAAGTATAATCTCTTTATTTGAGTATAGTAAAGTACCATAATTGAGTTGTTGAAAGTAAAAACGGTTTAAAAGCATTTAGGATGTTTCTTCCCTTAGACTTATGGTGAGTAAAGTTTAGTGATACAACGAAAGACTATCTCAGATGTTTGTTAAGCAAATTACTAATTTCATTAACGAGATCTGGTGAAATGGAATTAGAAAAATAAAAAAGGTCTGAGAAATAGGCTGTGTCTAAACATTCTGATTGGGATGTTAAAAGTTATCAAGACTCATTAGGATTGCTAATTAACACGCTAATGCCAATAATTATAAAAATGGTCTAAACCAAACATTTTAGGAAAAAGGAAAACAATGGATTTTTCATTTATGTTGTATTACTATTTTTATTTTATATAAACATATTTTTTAATTATGAAAAATTATTTTTACAGGAATATAAGAAGTAGAACAATTATACTGAGCTTATGTTTGTATTGTAAATAATTTTTTAATTTATATAAATTCAAAAATTAATATTGCAAGACAAAACATACTATTAATATGATTCAAATCACTTCTGACTTTATATAGGAAGAGAAAATAAAAGAAAACGTTGTTCTATATTCTAAAGAAGGTTCATTTTAAATGTCTGCATTATTGGTATCCTAATTGCGAACAATTTTTATATTTTATTTTTAAAGAAATTCAGCTCTTCGATATTTCGGAATGGATTTATAGTATTTTGTGACCCATCGTGTATTTAAGTTATATTTTTCTCGAAAGAAGCTACAAAATTTCTTTAAAGAAAGAAATAAAAATGACTTATCGAATGGTGTCGATATATCTAAGTCAGAGATATTTCTGTTTTCGGCCGAAATTGAAGATTTCCTCGGGAACTATCTCAAGGAAGCTTCTCGTATCCTTTTTATGACAACCTTCGCAGGAATCTACTTGTAAACTGATAAAATTTCATATCCCGCTAGATCCGTTAGAAATTGCATCGAAGAATCCGATTTATCTTTTGAGATAATCTATATCCTTCCTGCCTTTCTGCCCACTCTTTTTTCATTTGGACGAATATGACTAGGTATATAGGTATTTCCGAAAACTATTTGAAGGCGAAGCTACGTTTAAAGGTGCATCGAAGTTGGAAGAAATCCTTCATACTCGTAATATTTTCTACCGTGTACTTAAAGTAAAGAATGGTGGATATTGCTTAATAAATCTTTATTGTGGTACGTAGAGTATATCTTCTCATTTCCAATTTTTTATTTTTGTCCTGGTGCATTTGCATGGGGATATTATCAAAGGAAGGTACGAACTTTTACAGTCATGTAATGTATGAAAGTAGAAAAAACAAACCAGAGAGATTAGGCATAGGTCAGTTGTAATCGAGTTGTAATAATGAAAATAGGTGTGAGCATGTGATTGTGATAAATTAATTATATTTAAACTTAATGTTTATGTTTGATAATCTTTATCTATCTAATTAAGTAAAAAATTGTTCTTATTGTTATTAAATTTCATCCACCACTAACCCACTAACAGAAGTTACGTGAAAATATGGTGGGAAATGATGCGAAACAGCTATTACGCGTCGTCGTTAATTTCTTGTCCCAATTTCCACCGATCGTTACCATTTAATGTCCTTACGGTCCCCCACGCTTCATTAGCGTAATATATTTACACAGGGCTTTTTTCACTTCCTTCGTTACCTTCCCGTTTCCATTTTTTCGTGTGCAAGGAAAAGATACCACGTTTTGATATTATTCACTGTTAAACAGTCTTTTTTGTTTTTTGCTAATGTCATCTCGAAACCTCGCAAAGCCGTTTTCTATTATAACGAATGAGCACAACGGGCCATTCCGCCTTTTACGTCGCATTAACGGACAAGGACATTTTTACAAGGGTTTACTTCTGGGAAAGCCGGGATCCACATTGTCCACCAAATTAAATTCCCGATTTCTAATTAAAGGGATTTAATTACCAGCATGGAAGAGGGTCTCCATTTTCAAGACGCACCCACGTCTGGACCTGTGCAGACTGACCCCCTATTCTCCGCTTTTAGAATATAAAGATCACGACGACCACGCGAAACAGAATTAGACTCGCGACCGGATTCTCCTCCTATTTCTCTGTTTACCATTTCATCAATCGAATCTCGGTAAAAATTCGAACACCACGAACTCGCTCCTCCAAAATAATCATTCTCCGTCTCCGCGTTAATTCGCGCGAGAAAGAATCGCATTGTACTGCTGGAAATTTAACCTAAATAAAAATTTCAATTTCGAAAAATAAGGGGAAAGAGAGAAAGAGGTAGCAGCGAAGTAACAGTCGGGACAAAGACGGAAATTACATTGCGAAAAAGGGAAAAAAAAAGGAAAGAGGGTCGGAGGTTTCGCGAATAATCAACGCTGTTATTAAATCTAACGCGAAAAGTTCTGAATTTCAAAAGGTCTTGATACAAAATAGCACGTCTGAAAGCGGATACACAGAAGAGGAAACTTCATTATCGCGTTATCCGCAGGTCTAATTACATCGTTGAATCGCGCTCCGCGAAGAAACTCCGACCGACCCAGATTGCGAATTTGAATATTCGATTTCATCCCGCCTTTTGGATGGTGTTCCACCCGTGTGCTTAACGATCTCCGATAACATCAATATTTGTGGAAAATTACAGCGCTGATCTTAGCTGCGTCAATCGTCTACGTGGCTAGACTCTTGGAAAGATCCTCCAAGCGACGAGGTACCCGGCCAAATTATCGTTAACCTGATAACGCGCCCGAGGTGTGAAGGGTGCAATGAAAGTCCCGTGACACGGCTTCCGTGATGTCGAATAATGGCTAAAGGGCTTTAATGAAAGATTCAGCTGGGAACGAGATACTCACTCATGTCGTTGTCGGCATGATGGATAACGATCTTGATACTTTCTCCGTCCACCAGACTCCCTTGTCGAGCCAGCTCACGATCCTCGGCAGACACTCTGTTCACACCTGATGGAGCCACTTTGGGTGATCCTGACGAACCTGAAGAGGCCAACCCCTTCATCGCGTTTATGTCCGGTCTGAAATCAAAGTGTCACGCGTTGATTTTTGCAGTGGATCCTGCGATGAGTTACTAGATAAGGAACGTGTGGAATATTTCATTTAATTACGCGGGGTATAATGGGTCCAGAATGAATTTTCAAACTTGATTATCTTAAAAACTGTGCATAAAATGAAGAAAAATTATTCCTGTAGAAAGGAAATAGAAAAATTAGACGAAAGATGTGAACGATAGATGTATGGGGGGGGGGGGCGCCGCCATGGTCCGTTGATGTCAGCTCGCCGCAGATATTCCTCGATGGTGTAGGTGTAGCTAGAAGGGACGGTAGGAAAAGGATGGGATACGTTTCGTCCCGGGCCTGATAGAGGACTCATCAGAAAGGCTACCCTAGCAGGCCCTGTCTTAGACTATTGGAATATTGGAATATAATTGGATACTATTGGAAGGGCGGGAAGTTATATATATAGGATTTGGAGGTTTTCTGAGGACTTGCAAGAAAGTTCTCGAAAATCGGAATCCATCTAGTGGCGAGGGTGAGAATGATGATCGCTACAGAGGTGTGGGCAACTTTCACCGCTGCCCATTGTCTTCCGACGGGAGAAAGCCCTTCGTTGGAGTTCTAGGAAGGCATCGCCGAAGCCCAAAGACAACAGCCACAGATAGGGATGCTGAGACGCCAAGTTGGGGTGTCTGGATCGGAACTCAATCGAAGAGACTACGAACACGTGAAGACGAGGCGACGGAGAGGGGACACACCCCATAAAGCTGCGAAGGATGCGTTTCTGGTACACTAGCCGACCAGCGTACTAAAGGAATAAAACAGTTACCAAGGAACAAAGTGACTAGTTATTAAAATTAGAGTCGAGTGAAAATTTAGGGACGCGACCAGAGTGGTTGAAGTACCTGGCCCATCGAGGTTACGTAGGAAAGGGGAATGATTAGGAAGGAAAGCCTGGGTATGAAAAAGGACAGAATGAATGGTTTAAATAAGGGTGCAAGGGCGCGGGCGAGTCAGTCTTTAAGAGTTTTTAAGCCAGTCTTTTTGCAGTCTTGAAGAGTGTGCCAGTGTGTCAATCGGAGAGTATGTAAGAAGTCCAAGTCAGCCTAAGAAAGATCAGAAGAGCGTACCCATTGCGAATCTCACTTGTGCCATAGCCGTCAACAATAATGTTTTAAGTTAATCCAAAATCCGATCCTACATATATATTTTAGAATAAAATAACATCTCTTATTCTTTATATTTGCCAATCAAACAGTAACCCTATATATATTTTTCCCCATTTTGAATTTCTAATTTATCTTCACGTAAGAAATAACCTCTCAAGTTACACCATTATTTCTGCAGCAGCCTGTATAATTTCGAAATTTTATGTCGAACGAAATGTTCCACTGTTGGAAGTATACCAACGGGAATAAATAATTCCATCGTTAAAAATATGCGACCGAGAAACGACTTATTCGACATTACAACTGCACTAGACGAAATTCGCATATTCCAAACGTCAGCTCGGGTTCAGTATCGCGCTGCAACTATTCACAAGTAATTCATAATGTTTTGCCGTGCTGTAGCTCTGTTTTAATTCGCGAATTGCGTCATTATTGGTAGAATCGAAACGTAATGCAACGCGTTGCTAAATTCTGTTTCCGGCTTGACTATTTCGTTTCGCCTCGGTTTCAATAATTAATCGCTTGTAGTATAAATCGATTAATTTGGGTAAATTGAAACAATTCGAAATTAAGAGAACAATTGTGATTCGGGATGAAGTGCATTGGCTTCGATCTCTTTCGGCTAAATTTAATTGCATTTGTCAATCGGAAGATCTATTAGTTTAATCTCCTTATGACAGGAATATAATTAATTTCGTAATTTTAGGATTTATTATCTCTTTATACACGTGTATGAAAAAATATTTCATCGTTAATCTGCAAGGATTTATGGTAATTCTTGATTGCTTTATGAAATTGAATAAACAAATTTAGTTATGGTTAGACAAATGTTATTTTAATTCTTGGTTCGTGTGACACGAGGAATATACATTTGTAATATAGTAAAGATTTTACTGGAAAGTAAATGTAGGTCACAGTTCGTCACTTCTATCAAATATCAGTTTTATTAAACCAGAGGGTGCCCCAAAATTTTTAAACGAAAATACATATTGATTTTTATTTGTATTTTGGAGCAGTGTCTTCCTTACCTGCTTTTTATTTTTTAATGATTCAGAAAATTAACAAAATTATTTTAAGAAAAATTATTACAAGTTATCGTAACTGAATGTAATAGAAATTTTTATTGCAACATTTACATAGCTTTTATTTAAATTTATTGTAACTCTTCTTTTCCTCTGAAGTAATTATAGTATCATAAAATAATAAATATTTTAATAATAGGTAACATTATTCACGTTTTCTTAATTTGTAGGGATTATAATATTATTTAAAGTATTTAAATATAATAGATGCCCATAAAAATTATTTTTGTTACAAATAAATGTAAATCATATGTCTATTTCTTGAAAGTAGCGTAATAGTGATACTGCCAACAGATAATTTACTGTACTTCAACTATATATAACAAATAATCCAAAATTTCTACTTTCTTTGAGAATTTTTAACTTAAAATAATTTGCTCGATATCTTCCATTTCGAATTCACAAAAATTCCCTGAAAGCTCGGGAAAAATCCAGAATAAACAAGGAAATTACCTAACTCCGACAATAAACTCACCGACGAAACAGAGGGTAGAAATTCGTACTAATACGAGCCAATTAACTAATTCAGATGTGCACAAAGTAACAACCGAACATAGCGAACGGAATTGAATGAAACTAAAGCCAGCAACGTTCTACCCTCCGGAAACGCAGCAACGAATTCCATTCGCCAGAATTTCTCGTACCAAAACTCCACCGTAATTACGATCGAATCCGTCTTTACAAATCCCCTGCCACGGCGAGGTTGCGTTCGAATATAGGAAAAACGAACTTACCGAAAAAAACTCGAACCCATCGCTTCTGTCCCTCTTGTTCCCGTTACCTCACCAAGGAATGAGGAAATCCTAATTAATCTACTTCTCGAGTGAAGCAACTAAAACGACCAGGTCGCGCCAGAATGCTTTCGCCACGGTCGAGAGGATCGAGTAGCTTAAGCAGGTTCATGCTCGAAAAGCGCTGAATTAAGTGAAACACGGGATTTCTCGTGGTTTCTGCTCGACCTGCTCGTGTCTCAAGCAATCGATACGCTCGATTTGAATACATCCACGGGAAGAAAGAACCCAGGGGACCGTGGTTTAAGCGTCGTTGAGAGCAAGAGTTGCGACAGAGAGGATGAGGCTGAGAGAAGTGGAAAGCCGGTGATGGATACGTTGTCGCGAATTATCGCGAATCTTCCGGCATAATCGCGAGAAACCTTTTCAGCCACCGATCATTCAGTGGAAGAAACATTATGAAACGCTTTTGACGCAAGTTTTAATCGCTTTTCGAAGCTCCAGGAGCACTGCTCTTCTGCCTAGCTATGCAGTTCGAGCTGTTTCCCTTTGAGGTACCATCGGTCAATGGTTTTAATCCCTGATGCAGTTGCCATTGGCTAACCTCTGACTGGCTTTTCAGTGGTTATACGTTGGATTCAATCATGGTCTTGAGTGTCGTTTTTGAAATGCAGTTGAGTTCTTAGTTGGCAGGGTGTGGGATTAGAAGATTAGGGAGTTGGTCCTCAGAATTTATATTGGAATGGTCCATGTGTGGAACTTTATATTACACTTTTAGATTAAAAGTTCTAAGGTGTTCTAAGTGGATTTTTAGCTTTCTATATTTCATTAAAAGTTTCGTTACAATTTTTATTTTTATTTAAATAATTTGACTTTGAATCTTTTTTCTAAATTCATTGAAAGATTTTTTATTGTTATCTGGTTTCTAAGTATTATCTGGTTATTAAGTATTAATGTTCACTTGATCACTGGTAATTTTTATTGACAGGATGAATGGCTGTTTTTGATGAAAATATTTGTCTATTAAAGAATTTTGTATTTATTTTATAATGGATGTTTTATAATTATATAAATTATATTTGATCATTGTATTTTAAGTGTTTATTTCTGCTAATGAATCTTTCGTTGGGTTTTTAGTATTTGTACTAATCAATGATCTTGAATTCTAATGTCAGTGATACTACTGATTAAGAATTTTTAATTATGCTGATCGCAAATCTTCAATTGTATCTCCAATGTTTATATTTTCTGTAAATACTCATAGGTTTAATTAAAATAATTTCATTTCGGAAACAGGAGTCTCTGCAATTTTAATATCATGCATAGAAATTACGACGGAATTTTAATAAAAATATTAGTAGTTATTAGAAAATAGGGGAAAGAATTTTTGGCCTGTAAATTAGCGTCCACTGATATTTTAAGAATTTCAAGCATTTATTCTCTGCTTCTTTTACACTTATTACTACCTTCACCTTTCCTTACAGCAGTATTGGGTACCTCAATGTCTTTTTTTGAGACCTTCGCGGATAGTTTCGTTTCCGTTTTAATTAAAAAAGTTTCCCTGACTATCGGTACTATTTTTCCCCCATAACGCAGAAGTTACGAAGGAAGCAAAGGATTTATCGCGTAGAAAAATAACTTTAATCGAATAGCTTCTTCAAGAATAAGCGTATTTACAAAGGAAGATTGTGCAAAAACTTTAACTTTTGAACAATGCTTTGTTCGAGTGAACTTCGTAGCTTGAATTTACTAACTTATCTGCCATACTTAAAACTTCATGCAATATTTCCATGACTCTTTTCACAATTACATTATATCCAATTTAATCTAACCTTTTGCTCGTACAGTCAACTTTAATAACATTTACTTATTCCCGAATCTCAATACGAACTTGTGAAATTTTTAAATGTCTCTGTCAGAAACAACAGAAAATATTACGCAAATTTGGGAAAATATGGCATGAACTGTAGAAGTAACGATAGAGGTGTAGGAAATATTTTTCTGATTAGTGACATCGAATTTTATGTAATTTTTTGATT